TAAAAGATTCATTGCTCTTCTCTGATTACAGAACTCAGGACATCAAAGGAAGAGAGCTAAAGAGAGAAAGGGCTAGATGAGTACCCTCTGCCCATATTTCCTGTGCCAGTCTAAACATCATCTGCCTGGCACTTATGTGATCATATGTAAATACCTTGGTCAAATTGCTGACTTGTGTAAGTATTTCATGAATATTATACACATTATTATTAAAAAAATATATGTTTGACTATTGTAGTAACGTAATGGTACTGCAATGCTTTCCTTGAGACTATTTAATATTTTTTAAATAAAATTTTATTTTTTACTAGTTTATTTTCAAAGTTTATATACACTGTTTTTTACACCACATCTTTTCCATTTCCTTTACCCAGTCCTACCTCCACCCATCAAATTTTATGACCCTCTGATTAACCACCCACCCTGCACCCAACCTTTGCCCTTCCTAACCTTTCTGCTCCCATTCTCCTCCCTTTAGATACTCATACACACTCTATAATAATGGTCTTATACAATATTTGTCCTTATGAGACTGAATTAGTTCACGTAGTATAATGCTCTTCAGTCCCTCCCAAGTTAGGTAATGATTTACAAAATCATTGCTCCTGGGTGCTGCATAGTATTCTATCATGTGAATATACCATTATTTTATCGTGTGAATATACCATAATTTCTCAATCTGTTAGATTGTGCTTGGACATTTGGGCTGTATCCATGTTTTTGCGATGGTGAATAATGCTGCTATGAACTTTGGTATACAAGTCCCTGTGTCTCGGTTCTCATTTTCCAGGGTATATTTCAAGCACTGGAATAGCTGGATCATAGGAAATTTCTATGTTCAGCTTTCTTAGGAAATGCCAAACTGCCTTCCAGAATGGTTGTACCATTTTACAATTCTACCAACAGTGTATAATAGTTCCTTTTTCTCCACATCCTCTCTAACATTTATTACTTTTTGTCTTGTTAAACTTTGCACACTGCTATTGGAGTAAGATGTTGTCTCATTGTGATTTTGATTTGCATCTTTCTTATTTCTGGTGATTTTGAGCATTTCTTGAAGTGTCTATTGGAGATCCAAATATCTTCCTCCATTAAAATTCTTTCCATGTCTTTTACCCATTTTCTCACTGTATTATCAGTCTTTATCTTGTGGAGGTCCTGTAGGATTCCATATACTTTCTCTTATAACCCAATCATGTATAAATTTATTCAGTTTCCACGTGGGCAGTTTTGTAAGACTTACCTGATTAATTTCTAGTTTTATGGCATTGTGCTCTGATAAGACATTTATTGTTGTTGTTGTTAAGTGCTGTCAAATTGTAGATGACTCATAGCAACCCAATGAATGAAAAACCTGAACACTTGTATGACTTGGTCATTTCTCCATGTCCATAGATTTTACAGAGGCAAACTATTTTGAATGTGGATGCCACTCCTGCTTCCAAGCTTGTTTTAATTGGGAAGCTCCACCAAACACTGTCCACCATGGATAATCATTATCACGTTTGGCACATCAGTTTCACAGTGTTTAGCATCACAGCAACCATGAGTTACCTCAGTACAGCAATGCACAGACCAGTGCTATACCACTTAGAAGAATGTTTGACAAATAACAATTTAAACCAGGCGTGAGTGCCGCAGATTAAAATCACCCACCTTTGGCTTGGTAGCAGAACTTTCTATCCAGTAGGCCAACAGAGCTCTCTCTATGTTGCCATTGTTGTTGTTGTTAAGTGCCATCGAGTTATAGACAGCTCATCGTGACCCTATGAATGAAAGACCTGAATACTTGTATAACTTTGTTTGTTTCTCCATGAGAAGACACTTAGTATTATTTAAATATTTTTTTAATTTTTTGAGGCTTGCTTTGTGTGCTAATAGGGGATTGATTTTGAAGAATGTACCATGTGCACTGGAGAAGAAAGTTAATTGAGTTTTAGTTGGGTGCAGTACCCTGAATGCATCCACAAGGTCAAGTTGGCTAATTGTATTGTTTAGCTCTTCTGTATCCTTGTTAAGTTTCTTTTAAGTTGATCTATCCTTTCGTGTGATGAAGCCTCCTACCACTATTGTAATACTGTCTATTTCTTTCTTCAAATCTGTTAATGATTGTTTTATGTATTTTGCAGGTCTATTATTTGGTGCATAGACATTGATCAAGGTTATGTCTTCTTGATCTATTGTGCTTTAATCAGTATGTAATTATCTTCCTTACCTTTCATGGTGGCTTTCATTTTGATGTCTATTTAATCAGAGATAAATATTGCCACTTATGCTATTTTATGACTGTAATTTGCTTGGTGTATTTTTTCCAGCCTTTGACTTTAGGTCTGTCTTTCCATTTTTTAGATGTGTCTCTTGTAGGATACATATTGATGAGTTTTGGGGTTCTGCTACTCTTTTTCTCTTGATTGGCACATTATTATAATTGTGTTTCACAATAACATACAAGTAATCATATGAAATTTATTTATTTTCAAACCAGGTTTTATTTTTGCCATATTGCTGTGTTTCTTTTTCTGTTGTTTCTTGTTACTGTTGTCTATCCACTTTTCTTTAGCATCTCTATTTCAGACTTCCCTTAATATTTCTTACAGTTTTTGTCTTGTTTTCACAAATTCCTTAAGTTCCTTCTCTGCTGCAAAGACTCTAATTTCTCATTCCTATTTGATGGAGAGCTTGCTGGGATCCTTGGCTGGCAACTGTTTTCTGTCAACTTTCTGTTTGTGCCATCCCATTGTCTTCTAACTCACATGGTTTCTGATGAGAAATCAGAAATTAATCTAATTGTTTCCCCTTTGTAGGTGACTCTTTGTTTTTCTCATGCTGCTTTTAGACTTCTATTCTTATCTTTTAATTTGGAGAATTTGACTATATTAAGTTTTTTTTAAGTTTTAAGTTATGTCTTGATGTTTTTCTTTTTGGGTCAAGCCTATTTTGTGTTTACTGTGCTTCTTGAACATTAAATTTTTCATTCTTCAAAATGTCAGGGAACTTTTCTTCTAGTACTTCTTCCTAAATTTTCTCCATGACTTCCCTGACACTCCCATATTCTGGAATTCCACTCACACATATGTTATTCTGTTTGATATCATTTCACATGATTCTAATGTTTTATTAATATTCTTTAGATCTCATCTATAATTTTTCTTCTAGTATGTTTCTAGTGAGGCTCTTGTCTTCCAGCTCACGGACTCTCTGTTCCATCTCTTCAGTTTTACATTTTTGTCACATCAGTGTGTTTAACATTTCTGCCATTTTGTCTTAATATTCTGGATTGCATTTTTATGCTTTTCTGTTATTTCCAGTACTGTGTTGGCTTTACCCTGTCTCCTGATGATGTTTTAAGTTCTTGTACCTCTTTATACTATCAATTCTTTCTTCCATCTTTTACATTTTCTTCTGTAGCTGTTCGAGTTACTCCTCATCAAAATAGTTGTTCTAGATTACTGTCTCTGAGGTATTTGCTGTCTTAGTGTCTTCCATTGTTTCTTCCATAATTTGAGGCTTCTTCTTTAGGCATTCAAATAACCCCACATCAACACATTTCTTCTAGTTCTCTCTATCTGGTGTATTCTTTGGGTTTCCCTTTTTTTAGGTGAGTGTTTATTTTGTTTATTCATGATGACTGAGGCTGACTGCTGCTTTCTTGACAGTGAAATGAGTCTTTTCTTAGTTGATGTTAGGCTGTTGTAACTATATAATTATCCAGTATATGGGAATATTTTGTGTAGGACCTGTATATTTGTGTTCTCTTCTTGAGAACAGTCAACCAGGAGTGGAATGACTATCGCCTTCCTGAAATTGCACCTCCATTTGGCCTCAACCACTTGAGCTTAAGATATCCCATGTGATGTAGTTAGATAGCAGTGTTTCACCCAAAGTGCCTGTGATATTGGTGCTGCTGGTGCTAGACAACAGAGGAAGCAGCAGGGCAGTCCCCGTGCAGTGGGGTATTAGAGTCTCCAGGCAGTGGGAGCAGTGGTGTAGTGCTCTGAGTGCAATTGTATTCTACAACTGCAGCCCTTCAACCTGGCAGGCAGTGGTTCCGTCACTGGCCAGGCAGTGAGTGTGTCTGGGCTTGGCCATAGCCTTTAACAGATACTGAGGAAGTGTAGCTGGAAGATGCTCCTGGGCCAGCCATGCTACACAGGCCTTGGTGTCTTGCAGCAGAGCAAAGGTAAAGTCCACCCAAGACCATTTAATCTCTTAAGCTTAAATGAAAAATAGAGTTTTTCATGTGACAAATGTCCATAAGCACTTGGTCCTAATTCTTCAGGATGTCAATATGTCTAGAACATTAAGCATTTATTAATGTGGGCCATCAATTTGCGAAGCTTGACAATCCATTTCCAAAAGTCCGTCCTTCCTTCTTCCTTCCTTCCTTCCTTCCTTCCTTCCTTCCTTCCTTCCTTCCTTCCATCCATCCATCTCTCCCTCCCTCCATCCCTCATGTCTTCCGTGTTCCCTCTTTTCTTTGTTCCTTTCTCCACTCCTTTCTTTTCACTTTCTTTAACATTTAATTCTGCCTATCTTCCTTCCCTCTACCTCTTCCTTCAGAAGCAAAGCAAAATCCTCCTCATTCAGCAGTATTTTGACCAGATGTTACCTCCTCTCTCTCATTTATGCACCACTCAGACATGATTATATAACTCTTTTCTTTGAGGGTTATAGTTCTATTACAGGTATGGCAGAGCACCTGGATGAAGTTAGGAAGGTTCACTGAGGCTTCCATTTCATATGTGTCTTATAGTGAATGTGAATTTTTCAACCAAAGATAAAGAAGTGTTCCAGAGGTCAAGGGACAGGGTTTGATGTCTTTCTCAAATGTTGCGTATGACAATGAAAGTATATAAGATTCCTAAATTTGATAATGTTGACGGCTTTACACTATACTTTTCACTTGAAGAAATCAAGGAAAGAAAAAAAATCTACAATCTAACTAGTGTCTATTTCATGTTCTCTCCTCTCTCCAATTTGTTTGCTGACTTTTCAGCAAGATGGAGCCAGGAAATCAAACAAGCATTTCAGAATTTTTCCTCCTTGGATTTTCTCAGGACTCAGAGCATCAGTCAATCCTGTTTGGAATGTTCCTGTCCATGTTTGTAGTCACTGTGCTTGGAAACCTCTTCATTATCCTGACTGTAATTTCTGACTCCTATATCCACACCCCAATGTACTTCTTTCTATCCAATCTGTCCTTGACTGACATGTGTTTCACCTCCACCACCATCCCAAAGATGCTAGTGAACATCTATACTCAGAGCAAGTCCATTTCCTATTCAGGCTGCATCACTCAGATGTACTTTTGCATGGTTTTTGGAGGCATGGACACATTTCTTCTGACTGTCATGGCTTATGACCGGTTCATAGCCATCTGTTATCCCCTGCACTACTCAGTCATCATGAACACCCATCTCTGTGGTTTGTTGGTTCTTGTGTCTTGGTCCATTTGTTTAACATACTCCTTAATTCAGAGCTTGTTAGTACTGCGTCTCTCCTTCTGCACCAACTTGATAATTAAACACTTTTACTGTGAACTTGCTCAGACTCTCACAATTGCCTGTTCAGACACACTTGTTAACTATATCCTGCTTTATATGGTGATTAGTATTTTGGGTGTTGTTCCCTTCTCGGGAATCTTCTTTTCCTACACTCGAATTATGAGCACCATATTGAGAATCCCTTCAGCTAACGGGAAGTATAAAGCATTTTCTACCTGTGGGTCTCATCTCTCTGCAGTTTCTTTATTTTATGGTACAGGCCTTGGTGTGTATCTCAGTTCTGGAATATCATCTTCATCCTGGAAGAACATGGTCACCTCAGTGATGTATACAGTGGTCACACCTATGCTGAATCCTTTCATCTATAGTCTGAGGAACAGGGACATCAAGAGAGCTTTTCAAAGAATCCTTAGGAGAATGCTCTCTATTCAGTGATGGAATCATCAGTCTTGCATTTTTAAGGTGATATTGTGCTAAAGAAATCTTGTTTCTTAAACACATAAGAGACCATGGGTGGTGTAAACAAGTTGGCCAAAAGAAGTTTGGAAATTTCAATAGAGCAAGAAGTCCTACAGAAGGCGGGCTTGGCAATCTGCTTTCAAAAGAACACAGCTTTAAAACTATGGAGTATGGTTCTATTTTGCACAGATGTGGTCATTGTGAGTCCAAATAAACTTAGCAGCAATGAACAATTATTTACACTGAATTTTGGAACTCATTCATTGTACATAAGTTTCTGTGATGAAATTTGCCTTTTGACTTCTTCTACACCTTTCATGATGATGTTACTCTTCTCATCAACTCTTTTTCCTTCACCTCCTTACTTGACATTTTACGTTAGTGAGCTTCAGCCTGTCATTTTGCTCTTGAATGTTAGCAGCAACATTTCAAACACTCAATTGAAATTGTTTAATTAGGATTTCATTTTATTAATAAACCATTTTAGTAAAAAAGCTTAAACCTGGGGTTTCAAAGTTGGACAGGCTAATTTTATATGGTGTTGTTGTTATGTGCCGTCGAGTCACTTGTGACTCATAGCGATCCTAGGTACAACAGCCCTAAACTCTACTCTGTTCTGTGCCAGTCACACTGATTCTGACACACCCATCCAGATTACCCCAGTCACTGAATCAATCCACTTTATAGAGGGCCTTTCTCTCCTGCACTGTCCCTCCATCCTCCCAAGCATGATGTCCCTCTCCAAGGACTGGTCCCTCCTTACAACATGTCCAAAGTATGTTACATGGAGCCTCAGAATCCTTGCGTACAGGGAGCCACCCAGTTTAATCCTTTCCAGGATGAATCTGTTTGTTTTCCTAGCAGTCCATGGTACCCTCAATATTCTTCTCCAGCACCACAGCTCAAAAGCATCAATTTCCTTCTATCCTCCTTAGTCATTGTCCAACTCTCTAACGCATAAAAAGTGATAGCAAAGACCATGACCTGTATCAGATGCACCTTAGTCTCCATAGAGATGCTATTGCTCTTCAGTACTTTGGAGAGGTCCCTAACAGCAAACTTTCCCATCGCAGTACGTCTTTTAATTTCCTGGCTACTGGTGCCAAGAGTGTTGACTGTGGAGCCAAGTAAACTAAAGCTGTGAACAATCTCATTCTCTTCTAAACTGATATATAAATTATATAAGTTGTCACTAGATGATATTTTCTTCTTTACATGATTTTCAAGACTAATTATACAAATGCATCCATAGAGAAAAAAATAATAACCAAGATATTATTTTATCTTACCAGGCTTAGTAAGTTATTTGCTCTACTTCACTTATTTTGCAGGTAAATTTTACTGAGGCTCAAATATAGGTGTACACCCCATGACAAATTTAGTTAAAAGAAGAAATATTTTACATTTTGAATTACATCATCTGGTCTTCTATCATTGGTGTTCATTCAGTGCCTCAAACCTATTATTAAGATGATCTTGATTCAGATGGAATTGATTCAAAATCATATCTTGGTACCTGTGGACTTATTTTTTCTTTGCCCTCAATATGTTGTTGTTGTT